AGAGCAGGATGGAGGCAGAGGAAAGGTGCGGCGCAGTGACCCAGGGCTGGCTGGCTGCTCGCTCACATGTCAAAGCCAAAAGGCAGAGCTGCCTGCCTGCACACCCATCTGGGGCCTGTCAGGAGCACAAGTCATGGAAGCACAAACACGCACACACAAACGGATACAATCGTCAGCTTGACAGAGACCCACATGTCTACATACTTGAGTGGAGTGAGTAGTTTGGAAGCAGCCCATTGTCTCAGGAGGACAGGAAGAGCTGTCTGCTTGACTTGTTTGTTGTTGTTTTGTTTTGTTTTTTTGGGTTTTTTTTTAACACCAATGTGTAGATCTGAAAGCTGGTTGCTTCAGGTTCTTTTAATCCTGCATAGTCTGCAGACATGCAATGTTTAACCCAACCCAAAGGATTCAGCAGTGGAGTGCACATTGCCATAATTCACCGTGTTCTTTTGGTTTTGGTTTATTCATCTGTGGAAAAAAAAATGCTGGGTAGTTCAAACGGTACCAAGTGTAAGATTTTACACTTTTTGATGGTTTCCAACAGTTTGAATTTGTAGATTTGTCGTAAAAAGACCCTGGCATGGGCCGGCTGACTGCATCAAGGCAGGTTATAAAATGTTCCACTTAAAAAATAAACTCGAGTCATCAATGTTGCAGTGGTTTATAGTTGTTTTAACGAGATGCCGGAGGAGGTGCTGGTGTGAGCTGAGTTTCCACTGGAACATAGGGTAGAGCCACCACACTCCTCCCCTACCTGTTGCTGCCAGTGGATGTTCTAAGAAGGCTCCAACACTAACTAGACAAAATCAGCTCATGCTGTTTTAAATAAAAGAAATTAAATGATGTTGAGTTTTGTTTAAAATTTTTGATCTTTACAAGTTTGTCCTAATTGTCCAGCAATTTCTAGTTGCTGGACAGTTTCATTAATAACAAATGTGGGAAGTTTTCATATTTTGTTTGTTAGTTAAAAAAAAAATCTTCACTGCTGATGATTTTGCTGGTAAAAATGGGGTTGAAAGCGCCTGAACGGTTCTTTTCCTACTGCGGTAAATATTTTCTGAGCAGGTAATGGTGAGAGAGCTGCAGCTGCTTTACATGTGTCTGTTCTTAAAATAACCACTCACATTATAGGTCGATCTGTCCATAAACGTCAAAGTGGCGGCTGTTTGCCTGCATGTAACTGCTAGGTGCCTAAAGAAAAGAGAAAAATAAAACAACCCTTTCATTTATTCTTCCACCCTAGCATCTGTTTGCTAAACACTAGGGGTGAAAAAACGGGTTATTTTGCCTTTGTTGGCTCTTTGGCAATGAGGGTTTGACATCCCTCCTGCGTGACAGTTCAGAGCAAAGATCTTGGTAGCAACAGGCCACGTGTTATATAATCTGTCACAGATGGAGAGTTCCTCATTCAGACAACCTGCAGCTCACCGTGCCATTCATTAGACACTGGACTCTACCCGCTATTAGTGGCTGCCAATATGTAATGTATTATTATGCTGTAGGGTATCAAAAAAGTGTTTTTGTTCATTTGGATTTGCTGATCTTTCTTGTGCAATCCATGTACTATAAGGGGCATTTAATTGTAGAAAGTAGTTTAACCCCTTTGTGAAAGATGTTCTGTTGTAACAGGCACAAAATTATCCACATGTACTGAACAGAACCTTAACATTAGTAGCAGAGGACACAAGGTTATAGCTCTTCTAGGTAAATCCATAGCTGTTTATGTAACTGGCACCAACCAGGCTTTTCTAAGAACTCTGCAAACAGAAGGCTCTGTTGTTGGTCAGTGCGATTGTAAGAGGGTTAAGGGGAGAAACAAAATAAAAAAAGATTGTGCTTGCATATTATTATTTGAAATGCACCGAATACAACACAAAGGCTGATTTGCCGGAAAATCAGCCTTTGCCGGATTTCCATTACACCCGAAAAAGTGCATCAAAGTACATTCTGTTTGGTTGGTGCATTTCTGAAATGAAAATAGCAGGTGGCATTAGTTTTGAATGACTTTATGAATGGGTAAAAACATTCTTTTTTTGTCAATATTTCAGGGGAAAATGACCTTATTTCAATGTCTGATTGATGGGTATCTTGTATTTATAGTCACACAATTTCACTCGTACTCCAGCTGATCCTATTTGCAGCTTTTTCAGCAGCAAGTCTCCTTGATAAACAAGGTGCTTTTAAGAGGTATTGATCCTGTGATAGGGGGGTCATCACCAGGAGTCTAGGTTTATGACCCTGTAGCCTCTAAAGGAACACTTAGACCTCATTTAGATTAAACCCATTGACACCGGAATCTATCTTTGTCTGTAAAAAGCCAGCTGACACTCAGTCTCCACCAAAAAGACTTTGCCTTATTTTGGGGCTTTCTGAACACAAAGGTTGGAAACATTTTACAGCTTTCTAGGTCAAAATGGACTCCTCCAACGTAGCGCGTATCCACTGTGTGCGAAGGTGGCAGTTGCTCTGACCAAGATGAACCAGCCCACTTGCAACTCTTCACATGCCTGTGGCCATCCTAATGCAATCAGCAGGTTTCTACAACAGAGTACTTTCTAAATTCTTTTTCCTGCTGAGACTTACGCTGATGTCCAGTTACCAGACTGTTGTGTGCAACTACCATAAGCTGCAATTAGATGCCCCTCCCTGTTTTGTCCTTTTGTGGTTACTCCTTCTTTGTCACTCCTTTTTTTTTTTTTTTTTTTTTTTTTTTTTTTTTTTTTTTTTTTTTTTTGCTCATGTAGCTTCTTTAGGCATCTGTAATTATCTCAGTGCCACACACTTGGGTTTCGTCATAACCGCAGAGATAAAAAAATATGTTTTACATTACATACAGACTTATATGCAAGATATATCTTTTTGACTTATATCTTGCATACAAGTCAAGCTATAAGAGTAAGGGTGTCTGGATGCTGATAACAAGTTGCATCTTTACACTAGAAGAGATGCAATAGCGCCTAAAGTAGCTGTGAATAAATGCCAAAGCGGTGAAAGAGGTGAGCATGCTACCCCCATGTCAACATCCAGAGGGCGTGGAAGGTTGTTTGCGGTGAATCAGCAGTGGGGATCAGCTGCCCAATAAGTGACGCTTCATATCCACTCGCACACTATTTGCGGTCTATGTGCTAAGAACCATAATGAGACATTTGGGCTGGGAAAAGTGTTGAAGTGCCACGTAGCCCGGCTTCCCCCAACCGTTTGTCATGTTGGTGGGTGAGGGAGAAAGCAGGACGAAGACAAAGAGTGCATGTAAATGCGGGGTTATCAGGGGTCGTCTGGCGTTAGTTGTAATCTCTACTGAGCGCCTCCGGTGTCCGTAGTTAGTACATTTTTCTCAGACAAACAGGCCCACACATGACGGCAGTGCCCTGCTCGTTCCTCACAGCTCTCTTTATCAGGCCCTGCGTGGCCGTCTGTGAAGAAAATTCAAGTCATTGTGACTTATAGTAAAGTGATGTATGATGATATCATGCACATACACAATGCCTTGCAAAAAGCATTCAAATCCCTTGAGCTTTTTCACTTTTTGGGGACCCAAACTTTATAATGCATTTTATTGGGATTTATTTGATTCCCCCTGATAAACCAGCCAATTGCCACAATATGTGCTAGTTTCAGTTTGCCAGAAGTGAAACAGCAAATCATGGGGAAGCGGTTCTCTAGGCTGATGAGATTAAAAATGCACTTTTAGTATCTCATGCAAAAAACTACAAGCTTACAACCACAACATCACCCAGAAGACACCCAACCCACAATGAACGTCTGATGGCAAAACACGACACAAAAAACTCTTTTGCCTTTATCCCTGAATTATCCATTGCAGGTCCCCATTGGACTAATGGAAAGAATGGGCAGAAACTCAACCACATTTAGTTGCGTTGTGCCATATTTAGTCTGTGAGCTCTCCCAGATGGAGCTCTGTTGTTAATTGTTAAAAGGCGGGAGTTGATACCTGTGTATGAACAGATGAAAGGTACAGATAGACATGTCCATCATGGAGAAGAATAGGGGGACTGAATAGAGCTGATTAAACAGCAGGTTGACCTGAGCCAGACCGATACTCATCATTTAGACCTCATTTGTGTGTGTGTGTGTGTGTGTGTGTGTGTGTGTGTGTGTGTGTGTGTGTGTGTGTGTGTGTGTGTGTGTGTGTGTGTGCGTGTGTGCGTGCATGCGTGCGTGTGTGTGTGTGTGCATTTGTTTGCGTGTCTGTGTATGCCCATGTGTTTTGTGACTTTCAAAGCTGTGGCCACACGGGCTGCACCAGACAGCTGTAGACTTGTTTAGTCTGCAGACATGCAATGTTTATTCTCATACAATAACCATATATAGTAGTGGTGTAATGGCTGTAATAGTTTGCCTTTATGCTCTTATCAGCACCATCCATGCATAACTGAACCATGGCACACACACACACGCACACACCCTCGCGTATGCAGCCACCCATTCTAAGGCAGCGGGGCATAGCAAAGATCCACATAGCCCAAACGTCTGCAGTGAATTCCCGCTCTGGTCCTTTGGGTACGTCTCCTTTAGGTTCCCCCAGAGATCACTTCTGTGTCGACGGGTGCTTAATGTCTCTCCGATCTTACCCCCCAGGCTGAGCTGAAAGGGCAGCCCCCTCCTAATGGAGCTCTGATTTTGTTAAAGATACAATTATCTCACTTTACCTCTCAACCGGGGGGGTCCATTAGCGGGATAGATAGTACCTGGTGTCCATCTCCAGTCACGGAATACAGAGCTGTCAAGAATGATGGAGTGCTGGAGTTGAGCAGACTCCAGGAAATGCCATTACCTCACCTTCCCCATCGCTGAACCTAAACCAAGCTTAGTCTGTCTTTGCTGCCACTGTTACTGGTGTATAAAAAAAATAAACAATTTAAAATAAACAACGCTTTGCCTGGTGGGGTGGGAGGCAAGCACACCAGACTTACAATACATTGGTAAAAACACTGGCAATTCAATCATTGTGCTCCTTTCTGTTTGTCTTTCCACTATAGACGAGCCCACCTGCGGCTGTGTTTGGAGAGGTTGAAGGCCCTCATACCTCTGGGACCCGACTGCAGCCGCCACACCACCCTGGGCCTACTTAATAAAGCCAAAGCACACATAAAGGTACGAATGTAACTGGGACATGTTGTCCTAGTTACACAATTTGACAGACATTGCCATAAGACTATCACAATGACGCACAGTGAAAAGAAAAAAATCCCCCAGACAGACGATGTATTATCTGATCACTCTGACCAGTTTCCCTAGTAACTGCTAAAAAAACAGCAGCCCAAAGAATGATGGTGTCACCACCATGTTTCAACATGATGAGCAATGTGACGCACGCAACATTTTGCAAGTCAACCAAACGTTAAAAGTTCGGTCTTATATGACAAAAGCACCTCCATGCACAAACTGTGCATGTAATGTGGAAAAAATGAGGAAAAGTTTCATGTATATTTTTGCTCCATATTGTATGACTTCACTTAATTATCATAGGGCACAGACATTTGCATATACAGTGTGTCTGTTTCTATTCATGTGGCCAGGTAGGGGACTTCTCATTTGTGTTGTCACCGACACGTGTAGGTTATGAGGTCTGGCATTGTCTGATTGTCATCACATACTGTCACGGAAAAAAATCGCGTCACGTCGTCCTCATTTTCCATCTGTTCACTGGACATAATAATAATAATGATAATAATAATAATAATAATAATAATAATAACAATAATAAGAACAGGTATAAAAAACTGAAACCAATCAGATGGCGTGACAAAAATACAGGATTGCCTCAGACGGAGCGATCTCTTAGTGAGAATGTTGGGCCGGCGTGCTGCTCGCACGTGATGCTGAGGGAGTCAGGGCGAGGGGGGGCAGCATAAAGCCAATATTGTTGTTCTCCACCGTCACCACTCTGCACCTCTGCTGCTGTCAACTGCAGTCTCTCCACGGCTTATTGACGGCCTTTTGTTTTGCTCTGTCACTGGGAGAGTCACGCATGTTAGTGCTGGCCACTGTGACAGAAGGCTATTAGGTCTGAGCACAGAGCTGCTGTATCAGGCACGGCCAAATGAATGAGGTAACTGGCAGTTTGAGGGAGGGGGGGGTCTTGATTGGTTTTCCTGAGTTTGAAGTTTCACACATTTTCTTTCGCTGGAAAATTGTTTTCCCGACATAGCAACACCTAACCTCAGTGTTTCTGCTTTTTGTGTTTCCTCTTTCGCTGTTATTTTTCAACTCCATCTGTGGTTTCTCTTTGAAGTTGTGTGGATATTTGCATAACATTTTGGCCAGGGAGGTCTGGCAAAATCAGAGTGATTGAGCCGAGGCCCGTCGCATTAAGCTATAACTCAATTAATTGCTCGATAAATTAAAACAAGCTTAATAATGTCTTGCTTCTCTCTTTTTCTAACCAAAAAATTGCATGACAAATGTCTTCAGTCTCAACTAGCCCATTTTTGAAGAACAATTTTGTTTACAGAGACTCCATAATTCATTTTATTAATCTGACACTGATTTCACATCGCTTCCCATCTTGCAATGTGTGTTGTCCCGATTAGAAATGTCTGAAACTTAGAAGATACAGAGGATTTTATAGAACAAGAAGTCTTTGTTCCCCTTTTAATTGGCTCCCATTTGCAACAATTCACGTTTAATGGGAACCAGGGTTTTGAATTTAATGTTCTTTTTTTAAGACCATCTGGGAATGACATTTTTCCTGCTCTACAAGTGCCACCTGGTGGTCAGATAATTCCATGCAGAACCTAATCAAAAAAGCTGTTTTGCTGGCTGTGAGTTTCACTTTCAGTTTCAAGCGCCCTGCATGCAGAAGTGAGTGAACGTTCATCGGCACTCTCTTCTGCGTAGCAGAGCAGGAGATTAAATAAAGGAGTTATTATTGGGTCACTATTGTGATATTTGAGATGAAGGTGTGATGAAAAAAAATACATGCACAAGTAAGGAACAGATGCCACCATATCACCAGTTCTGTCAGTGTACGCCGCAATCACTCCCAGAGGCCAGCTGGCTCATTTTTATTTGTCAAGCTATACCTGGAAGACCCCGGCCTCTCCGGGTGTGACAGCAGAACTTGACGCACCCTGGAGAAGCTGCAGCGGGAGAGAAACGGAGGGGGTGGAGAGATGAAGCCCCTCCGCCTCCTTCTGAGAGAGGCCAGTGACATTTTGTCAGAATCTGAGCTAAACATGTGCAGAGCTTGGCATGGTGTGAGTTTAGACCTGCAGGAAGAGGTTTGGTGTCGCCAAGATGTAGAAAGAAATGCTGCAGCCCTCAGAGTTTGCATGGGTGCATAATATGGGTAAGTCATGTGGTTGTGTTTCAGAAGTTCAAATCAATTCAATCAAAAAATAGCATTTCCATATAATTTTAGAAGATAAAAACCTACGTTGGAAGCAAACCTGCACTTACTTTTCAGAATTAAAATAAAAAATAAAAACAACACAAAAGTCATACATGCACACACACAGCTCTGGAAAAAAAATAAGAGACCACTGCACTGAACCTCATTGAAGTACTTATGGTTATTCCACCAAATACTGATTTCTGAACTCTTCCTGAGTTAAAACGTTAGTATTGTTGTCTCTAAATGGGCATGAATTTGTTTTCTTTGCATTATTTGAGCTCTGAAAGCACTGCATCTTTGCCATTATTTTGACTATTTCTTATTTTGCAAATAAAAACTACATTTTTGCTTAGATTTTCGGAAACACGTCGTCAGTAGCTCATAGATTAACGTTCATTTTACTCAAACATATAATTACAAAAAGTCAAATCATAGAAACTGATCATTTTTTCCCAGAGCCGTATTTCAAATAAATAATCATGTTTTCCATCCTGGCCATGATATTAGTCTTGTGGGTGGCTGAAGTGTAAAGTGACAACTCACAAACTTTCCCTCTACTTTCTGTGTTTTTCTTCTTTTTCCTCTCTAGAAACTTGAAGAAGCCGACAGGAAGAGCCAGTACCAGCTGGAGTCTCTGGAGCGCGAGCAGAGACACCTACAGCGTCAGCTGGAGCTGCTGAGAGGAGGAAGCGCCGCTGCTGTCCAGAGCAGCCCGGGGGACGGGGAGAGAATACGCATGGACAGCGTGGGCTCCACCCTCTGCTCCGACCGCTCGGACTCCGACCAAGGTGAGGTCGCTTGCGCTTCTTTGGCTCGTTTTGCAAAATTGGGAGAGGAGGAGGTTCGGGTTCGACAGAGATTCGCTAATGTGGACGAAGTTTTGTTAGAGTTGACGGCAGATGGAGCTGAATGCAGCGCGATGCTGGAAGAAAATGTGTTGGAGTCAATTACCTGACCTGAATGTCCATTTTGCTTTCAGGCCAGCCGAAAACAAACCCGTTTAGATTCACAAATGTCATGTAACATTTTGAAAAAAAAAAAAAAAAAAAGCATCTGGTAAATATAAATATGTACTTGTATATATTTATTTTTTTGAAGAACAGCCATTTTTTTCTCTATTTTAAATAAAGAAGAACATAAAATGTTGCAATAAATTTTGCTCCACGTGCGACATCAAGGGTTCATCTCCCCCTTCTTTCCTTCTCTGCAGAAGAGATTGAGGTGGACGTAGAGAGCACCGAGTTCTCCCATGGAGAGCTCGACAGCGTGAGCATGGCCAGCACCAGCGACCTGGACGACCACAGCAGCCTGCAGAGCATGGCCAGCGACGAGGGCTACTCCTCCTGCAGCGTCAAACTTGCCTTCTCCTCCTAAAGCCGCCGCCAGCACCGACCAGCCGTGCCAAACCCGCCTGTCCTTCTCCTCCACCCCCTCTGCCGTCTTCATAGCCCATCCAGCCTCGGCGTCGCCAACGATGACGGCGTCCCCTCTCCGAGCCTTTTTTTTTTTTTTTGTTACATCCACTCCGTCTCGCCTCTCCTCTCCCCGAACAACTTGGTTCAAGTTTGGTTTAAAAGGGAGACCGGAGACTTCACACACACACACATACACACAAGTCCTCTGGATGTTTTTTTAAAGCGCACTACAAGAAAAGAAGAAAAGAAAAAAAAAATATCTGTAATTGAATTTAGGTGTGATATTTCCTTTTGATTTTTAAAAAAAGATGCACAATCGCTGATTTTACTCAAAATGCACTTACATTTTTTTTTTTTTTATAACAGTGAACTTGCTCAAGAGTCACCGGTTCTCCAGTGCGGGCGTCTGAACCGAAACTTAACAACGGCGCGGGTTAAGTTTGGGGTAGGGGCCTCGACCCAAACGGTCCCGCGGGCGCCACCAACGTCTTCCCCGTCGTCTCATTGCTTTATCCACAGCACAGAGGCTCACATCCTCCAAATCGGTGCTACCTACCGGGAAGGCGGGTCAGACGAAAGCGGGCGGAAGCTACAGAATGCGGTTTCAAAAGTCGCGACTTTGTGCGGGTGTTTCGTTTCCGCCCCTTTCCCCTCAAACACACAGCTGCGACGGGCCGTCCAGCACTCGCCCACTTCGTAGCTGTCCGTCTGTGACAAGGCACAATCCGAGACGAGATTAAAACACACACACAAACAAGAAGAAAAAAAAAAAGCAGCAGCAACGAGGAAAAAAAAAACCGTAACAGCTCCCAAGTTTGGATCAGAGGCACGACCTTTTTTCCAGCAGTAAGAAGCAATAACTCCCACAGTTTTTTTTTTGTTATTTTGTCCAATCCCTTTCCAATGTCCTTCCTCAGTTCTGTGTGACCGTCAAAATAAACAAATTAGAGCAATTATTATTATTATTATTATCATATTTTTTTTTTTGTACATACAAATAGCTTGATAAATCAAACTTTAAAAAAAGCAAGCAAACAAGCTGAGTTTAAAAAGCTCATGGATAGCGCTGTTGCTGTTTGGACTTCTGTTCATGGTGCATTATAAATGAAATTTTATCTTTTCGACATTTCTTTGCTGTTTGAAATAAACTATTTACTCGGCGCCCCGACCGGGGAGCGACGTTTTATTGGTGTGACGGAGAAAACCCAAACAGAGCAGCTCTCTCTCTCTCTGTCTCTCTCTCTCTCTCTCTCTGTCTCTCTCTGTCTCTCTCTCTGTCTCTCTCTCTCTCTCTCTCTGTCTCTCTCTGTCTCTCTCTCTGTCTCTCTCTCTCTCTCTGTGTCCTGTCGGGACTTTCAGTTGGAGGATGCGGCTGTAGTTTAGGGCAGTTGTTGTTATTATTATTCTACTTTTTTTGTTGTTGTTGTTGTTTTTATTTATTGGATTTCTTTTTTTTGTTTTTGAACTTCTTGTTTGATATTCCTCGTGCATGTGGCATTCCTCCGGTGGGTCGGGCGTCCCTGAAGGAGAAAAACGGGTCATATGATGTCAATAATCTCCATCCTAACCTTTCACTGGCATTACGAATTGCACTTCAACCACGGTTTCCTTTTTCTGCTCCGCCCGCCATCCATTCGTTTTCCCCCCGTCCGAAATGAGAACGGGAAGAACGCTGCTCGCTTTTGCATATTTATTTCTCAGTCCCTTAAAGAGCACAAGCAGTGGGGGGGAATGGGAGGCGAAAAAGTTAACTTATTTTGGTTCTGTCTTATTTTACTCACTATTATTCCTCATTCCTTATTTTAAGAAATGTATATTTTATGTGATCAATAAGCTTTTTTTTTTTGTTTTGTTTTTTCTTTGCTTTTCGGGGTGGGGAGGATTTTAAGGAATAACAATAATAATAATAAAAAAAGCCTAGCCATTTTGTTTGATTATTGTTATTTTTCAGATGTTTGACTCAATGGACACTTGAAATGTACTCGGGATCCATAAGCTGCTCCTAGTGCTGGGTCGCCGGCCTCGTCCAGAACCGCCTCCGTCCTCGAGCAATCGCTTCAGTCTCCATTCTTATTTCATTTTTTTTATTATTATTATGTTAAATTGTTTTGTTTTTGTTGTTTCTGCTCCGAGGGTCGAGCTGCTTCTGCACGAGACTCGCACACAGCCAAGACTTTTACTGGCAAATGCTGAGCCAGCTACTTACACAATAAAAAAAAAAAAAAAAAAAAAAAGGGGGGGGGGGGTCTAAAAATCAAAACACAAGAAAAAAAACAAACAAAAAAACGCAGCTTTCCTCTATTGAGAGGATTGTCGTCTCTATTCGACTTGTGTTTTAGTTGACTAAATATGTCTTACATTTACCTCCATTTGAGGATTTAATGGGTAAAAAGAAAAGAAAAAGTAAAAAAAAAAAAAGTAATAAGAACAAACCTTTGGTTGCCGCAGGGCGTCACTGAGGTGTGGGCTCCTGCCCTCAGAGCTCGGTGGAGGTTGTTGGACTTGGCACTGAATCAGAAAGTCACCGCTTTTTTGGTGCTTTATTGTAAAAACAAAAATGCCAAAAAAAAAAAAAAAAAGGAAACACCTCAGAACACCTCAGTGTCCTCTCTCTTTCTCTCTCTCTCTCTTTGAGGGACAGTTTACATTTGCTCCCCCCCACCTTTAATTTAATAACTTCCATCTTAGTGTTGCTTTATTGTTGTTGTTTTTTTTCTTTTCCCTCATATGTTGGCTTCTGAAACTGCACTGCTGAAAGTAGAAGAGCTCCTTGGTTGACCACAGATCTCTCTCTCTCTCTCTCTCTCCCTGTGCAACATGCTGTGTTTTTACAGCACGTTTGATAAAAACGGCAGAACAAGACGTGATGAAATCGGGTGTCCAAAATCGGACAATATTTGATCTTGACCGAAACCAGCTGTTCCGATTTATTGGCATATAAAACTTATGCAAGTGTGTGTGCGCGTGTGTGTGCGTTCTTGAAGGACCAAAGCTTTAGCAAAAAATAGGACCTGATCTTGAACTTGCCTTTTAGACTCTTTTTTTGGGGGGGTGGGGATGAATTTTAGCCTTCCAGGGTGTGTTTATCTCAGAATGACTGGTCTACACGGTGTGACTTGCACTAAGTGTAAAAGCGAAGCTTGATTGTGGGTTTGGTGCAGACTGGGTCCCAGATCAGCTAATAGGCAGGTCTGGAGGGAAGAAAAAAAAAGTATTTTTGGCTTGCATATCTTCTCAAAACTATATTTTCCTCTTAAGCGTCTGAGCTCAAATTTGAGTTTTCTTTCATTTTTCCCCTGGTCTCTGTCTCTGAACGAATGGCCGCCTTCTTCTAGGAGCAGTGCAGTAGAGACGCCCCCTGTCGTTGTGAACCTGTGGCCATTTTGTTTTTCTTTTTCTGTTTTTTTTTTTTGTGAAACATGCACTCTGGTGACGACGACAGTGACGATGATGAAGAGGAGGAATAACCTCGTTGTGTATGTTGAACATGCAATACCGACAATAAAGCCACCAAGATTTCCCAAACCTACAGGACTGAAATGAGCTGTTACTACCACAACATGTCTCCTGAATGTACTGTAAAGAGATGGCTCACACTGAGATGAATAAAGTTTGTGACTTTCCATCTGATATGTCCGGTATGAACTCTCATCCACTTTGTTACGCGGTAAGAAGTGGCAGCGTTACACAAAATCATGTAAACATTGATTTGCTGTTTTAATCCTCTTATTCCTAAAGCACTTAGCTGTTTAACTAGTACCATCATTTTTTTTTTATTTTGTTTAATGTACTAGAAAATGTTAGATTATGTTACAAAAAAAAAAGAAAAAGTTTTTGTCTCTTTTGGAGTGATGGCTTCTTCCCTCCTGAGCTGTCAGTATAGGACTAATTTCTCTGCATAATGACACGGCTGGGTCGAGCTTAAACTAAAAACTCATTCACTGCTGGAAATCTTTCATAGGACGGACGAAAAGACAGGTGAAGAGAAATCCCACAAATGAACTACGCCAAGCAACTTCACTGAGATTACAGGTTGGATTTGTTTAGTACAACGTTCTGCTGCAGTAACGAAAAAGAAATCCTCGCAGGCATGATGCGCTGTGCAGTCTGAGCCGTCGGATCAACCAAACAGCTGAGTGCTGGTGACTCTTTTGACCTTTTCTCAACCTTTGAAGTCTGCAGGTCAGAAAGCTGCTCATTTGAGCTCGGAGTGGAAGGTGAACGCCGCGTTTCTCCGCCCGTCGTTACGACGTCCCTGTTCTCAACCAGATTGTCACAATCTGTTTGTTGCCTCTGGGCAACATTGCGCAGTTGGGGTCCATTTTGTTCAGATAATATTACTGAAGTGCGTTGATATGCAGTTGATTACAAAATAATTATCACAGCCAATTATTTTACTTTAATAATGACTAACGGCAACAGGAGATGGATGCAGGATCAGTTCATGGATGAAAGGCGCATGGTTCATAAGTTTCCCAATGAAAACATGAGGATCCACTGTCCAACCATTATTTCACCGTTTAGCCTCAAGACTGACTTCAGTCCCAAAGGGTGATCAGCTGGTCATCAATGAACAACTGGCCCTATTCCAAGGCAGGCAAAGACTGAAGCCAAAACCAAAACTATGAGGCTGCAGGGTACTTCATATGGCTGGTGCAGAAAGTGATGCGTACACGTTTAAAATCTACACAGGGCGAGTCGTGCAACCACCAAATCTCCCAGATATGGGAGCTGGTGGAAATGTTGTCCTTTGCTTGGCTCAAATTCTACCAAATAATAAAATAAATCAGAACTACAAACTCTTTAAAAAAAAAAAAGAACCTGCAGCCCGAACTCCAGTCATTGGTGTAAACCTGGTCGTAACGACCCGTTGATAATCAAATAAACAGATGGTGATTCACAGGTATGTCAATAATCAAGTACCAAAAATGTGATATGCACTCTTTTTGTCCTAATTCATTCATGTACATAATGCACAGGAAGAGGCCTGATATTGAGCCCTGTGGCGCCCCCTGGTGGAGAGCACAGACCTGGAGAACGAGAGCAACGACAGATTCAAGGATCTGTAAGAAAACACAAATGTTAGTGGAAACTGCCTCCCTTTAATAAGGGAGGAATAGAAGATGACTCTAGACTAACAGGGTTTCTTTATTTTGGATTTTCAAAATAAAATGCTACAAAATCAGCTCAAATGTCTGTGACTGTGGGCTCCTCCTATTTAAACAGAAATGAGGATTATTGACCGTCAGCATTGATTTAAAGGCGAACACTCCAAGCTCGGTTTGGAAAACCTGGAAAATTATACCTCCGTCTATTTTCATGTGCAACGTTGCTCACAATTTTTGTCAGATTAGGTAGGGAGTGCACAATGTCTCCAAGTCAAACTTTACTGATGGATGTCTCAGGACTCTTATGACTTGAAGTCTAAACTGAAAATCGTATTGGTCAACAGAGCAGAGGAGACGTTTTGCATAAACCACATGCACAATTCTAGAAAAAGAGCCTCTTGCAGACAGCAGATCCAACAGAACCTGACTAAGAACTCCAGAATAAAATCTCCCTTGAGTTAGAAATGTGTGAGATACTTGGAGAAAATATGAGAGTTTCTGTAAAAAGGGGGAAAGACAGAATAAAATGGCAAACTTTCTTCAGGTCAACATCTAGGACTGGTTGACAACTGCAAAAAACATTGCATTCAAATTTTTGCATCCAGACGGGATGAGACTGGCCACTAGAGGACAGGCTGCCCTAAAGATTTCCTCTTGGATTACTCATACCCCAACAGTGGCGCCTTCGTTTGTTATCATTATTGTTTTTTCAGCGTTTCCAACTTTTTTGATTCTGCTGCACAGACGGAGGATCCTGCCGCTTATTTTATTCAGCTAACGCTGAAGGACATGCTGTCCCTGCTTTCCGTTTACACAGATATATTTCTTTATTTTGACTCAGTTCTTTGAACAGACTGAGTCAAATCTGGATTCGGAGTTAAATATCAGTCTGTTTTTGTTGTTTTGTTTTTCTAGCTTCAGAAATCAATCAGGGACTGACAACATCGGAGTCCATGAGGGAAATCAATGACCTGCAGAGGCGTTTACCCATGCAGCCACAAGTTTCATTCAGGTTTCATGGGCATATGAACATAGTAATTAAGGGTCATTATGTTCTCTTGATTAGGCTTGTCTTGTTTTACTTGGTCTGCTCTTAGCTATTTAAGAGTAGACCTAGTAAAAGGTTATTTACTCCTTGCGTTAGTCTTGGTCACAGTAGGATTCATTTCCCAGTGTCCCTGTTCTCCCTTGCAGTTGGTTGCACTTGATAAGAGATTGTGTGTCTTTTACCATCAGAGTGCTCTACATATGTATACATGTTTTTAAATAAATGTCCGGGCCGCATCTCCATATTCCAGTCCGCGGTTCAGCTCTCCTCCGGGTCGCTTGTGAGGGAGCAAACCCAAACGGCCAATTACCGCTGTGAGGAACGAGCCAGTGGGAGTCTTCAGGGGTCGAAAGTTGAGGCAAAATTAAGCAGGGCAGTAGGGCTGAGTGATGAGCGGGGATATTTCTGGCCAGGAGAAGAGAAGAAGAGGAGGCGGGTTGGCGGGGGACAGGTTTCCTCCGGTGGCGCGCATGAGTCACCATCCCCACGGCGTCTGACATCACGGCGGCCTTATCAGAAGAGGAAAAGCGGCGAAACGTCCTTCACCGCCGATGGATCGGAGGTGGACGCGAAAGAGATTATGCATCAGCTCTGGTAGCGCGTAGACAAAGCAGGCCAATGTTTCTGCTGATACAAGAAGCCAGGTGTGTCAGTGTGTGTGTGTGTAATGGCAGAGTGACAGACAGTCAGAGTAATTGCAGTTGCAGTGACAAGGATGGAGGCTGGTCACGTCATAGCCTGGCCATGCTTCAGGCCGTCCAATCAGTCTGTCTTTTTCTGTCTGTGTCTAAGTGTGTGTGTGTGTGTGTGTGTGTGTGTGTGTGTGTGTGTGTGTGTGTGTGTGTGTGTGTGTGTGTGTGTGTGTGTGTGTGTGTGTGTGTGTGTTCTCAATGGGTTCAGTCATGCTGTCACTAAGTGGAGACCCATCAGGCACGTAGGTCTCCTTCTAAACTCACGTAGTCCAAAGGTTTTTTTTTTTTTTTTTTTAAACTCACTACAAACAACCGAAGTAACAAACAGAAACGGGAAATAAAAAGGAAGATTTGCATTTTGAGACCTGTGAGTAAGAATGATCTGACATCTTGGAGGGTTTTCAAAAGATGCTGCAGGACAGGAAGCAGAGAGCATTTCTGAATGAAGGCTCTGGATATAAATAGAAATGTGATAAAATGTGAAGCAGTAGGGGTTTTACCAGCTTATCTAAGTGGCAGTTTGTGTTTTTTTTTCACATATGAAGAAGCTCGACAGCTGCTGGACGCCACACATTTGAACTCCCAGAAATACGTTCAGGAGTGGATCCTGAGAAGAAGACAGGTGGATTATTTCTGAGACAAGCTGTTGAATATTTGAGACAAATATATTCAAACACGTAGATGATAAATGCATATATGAAGTTTATTTACATTTCTTGAGTATTTGGAAGAATTGCCTTTTTAACCTGTGGGCTTTGGGTCAAGTACACACACGTGTTTTCATGACTTGTGGGGATTTTACATTGACTTCTATTCATTTTCTACAACCTAAGACTTACCCTAATGCCTAACACCTAACACCTAACCCTACCCATCACATATCTAACCTCTAGCCCAAAAGTAGCATTTAACGTCACGTGGACCAATAAAATGTCCCCACAAAGACCAGTGGTCCCCACAACACCACATCGTAGTCAGAAAAAGGTTCTCACAAGGATATAAAAACCACATTCCCACACACACAAGCCCACGCACACAAGTGTTTACAGATACACACCATCTTTGGCTGCTGTTTCCACAAAGTACATCTTGTATTAATTAGTAACATGTACTTTTCAGTGCCGTTGTTGATGAAGGTGTTTGTCGCTGTGGTTTCTCTGTTCTGTTTTTTTTCTCCCTCTCTTTCTGCAGGTGTAGGAACAGGCTTCTACGATATTCTCTTTTGCACTTCATCCCATCCTGTATTTTTACCTCCTTTTTTCATTAAAAGCAATAAAACACTGCACAGGAACATTAAATAAGCAAATAAATAAAATAATCAAAATACTTTTACGAAACTTTTCCTGCTCCTGCATTGTTTTCCAGCTGCCGGCAGGACGGCGTCGGGCCTTGTTTTGGTATTACACAGACCCGTGGACGTGCCGGATTTAATCTGGTGTTTATTAACAAATCCCGCCCGCCTTTTACCTGGAAAGCTCGTCACCTGACAGACCTCCGAGTTCCTGTGCTGTTCAGCACTGATGATGGTTTCACAGATGTGCAACTGAATGAAAGTTACTTATTCGACTGGTACACTCAACTTCTGTTAATGTTTCATTGCAGACAAAATGTAGTTTTTTGAGATTTCATGTTGACAGGTCATCCTCCTAATGCAGTGCATTAATATGAAGTGGAAGAACAATTATACTGTACATTGTTTTCTTTTTCAGATAATATTTTCTGAAAATGGCAGCATTTCTGTTCAGCCATTACATGGTGCAAACTAACAATCTCACACCAAAT